TAGGCATAACATCAGCAGCTGCCTACAACAACGTTATGCCGTCGCTCAAAAGGCAGGCGTATGAGGAGTTGAACGGTATCGATGGTAAGTGTACTATTCTTTTATCCTTTTAATATTGCAGTGGTAATAAATAATATAATTAACAAACCAGAAAAAGGTAGAACATTATTTACGGTTATACAACAAGTATATTATTATTACCGTACGTATTTAATTTTTAAGTGGACACATTGTATAACTACTGCAATATCGCCTACAAAGTTATTCTTTTATTATTATGGTTTTTCAATTGTATTGGTAAAAGAAAAGATAAACGTAATTTAATTTGCTTCCAATTGTATTACTTAGTGGCGCCCCAATTTTTTTATTGTTTATGATACTATTAAAAATTTACAATCGTTTTCATTTATTGGCTTCTACTCCGACTTGGACTGGGACGATGGTAAGTTTTCTATCACAACAAAGATACACTACGTAATAATTTGAAGTAAAAAAAGTAGAAATGAATAAAATGTTTTTAAAAATCTAAAGGAACAACGATCATGGGCCCGCCGGCGAAAAAGTTTAACAAGGAGCCGATGCCGATTGTACGTGGTGCCCCGACGGACCCTTACGCAGCAGCTATGACAGCCGCAATGGTCTCCTCTGGCCAGGTACTGCCCCGACAAATTGCTCAAATCAACGGTAAACCGAAAATTGCCCACATGACCAGGACCGGCACGGGACGTAAACAAGTTATAAGTTGGATGGACGCTCCCGACGATGTTTATTTCAGGGCTACCGAAGGAAGCAAGTAAGTTTTAGTTTATACACACGACAAGTTTTATTTTATTATATTAAACATTTGCCCTTTAGATTATTAAATGTTACGTAAATAAATCTAAGTATGTAGAGGTCAACTAGACTTGAATTTTATTCAAAAATATATGGTAGAGTAGCTTTTTTATAATAAATTTTCGTTCGTACATCGTACCCTTTTAACATAATAGTTGCGTTGATCATGCATAGTATGCAGAAAATTAGTATATATTTAAACTATTGATATTTCCATTTTCAGGAAAATAAGAAGACAAATTACATCAACAGAGCTGCGGAGAGCAGCACGAAAACCGTGGCGACCGCTAAAAACGAAAATAGACGATTTACACGTGGTCGTCTTGGATTGACAGTAACTTAAGTTTGTTCGGTTATGTGCAGGATAATTGCAAAGTTACAAAACAAAAAACTGAAAGAATCGCCGAACAGCACAAAAAAACAATTAATTGGACAAAATCGCCACTAGCAGTATCACAATCATAAACACTCAACGTTTATACACAAATTAAGTTACTGTGAAAAAGACTTGTTTAGTATGTAATTTTATTGACTAATTTATAAAGCACAAGTTTTTGTGATTGATTCGATTATTTACTATTCATATTATAATGATAATGATTATTATTATTATTATTTTTATTAATATTATTGTTGTTGTAAATGTATAATTTGTTTCTGTGAAACCGAATGGCGACGATGGACAGGTTCTTTTACGTATATTGTCGTGGTTTTAACACTACAAAGTGATATTTATATTATTATGGAGAGAAAAACGCTGTGTCAGTAATTCGTGCTCTTTCATTTGTGTCAAAGAAGAAGATGAGGGAAAGACTGCGAAAGGTGGAGTAATAATAAATGGCAAAGAGGAAAAAGGATAAATGAAGTACAATTTCTAGCTAGTATTTGTACATAGTACATAATTCCGTTAGTAGGGGGTTGTTAGAAGAGAAAAGACGGTTCTGATACTTCTTAATAAACAACATTATGTGGTATTGTTAGTGGTTCGATGATGATGATGATACACAGTTGCAAAGAAAAATGTAAAATGGCAATAAACGACGAAATGCTGACCACATTTGGAAAAAATGAGGCGAAAAAGTGTGGGTGTACAAGATTTCGCAAAATTTCAATCCATTTTCTCGTTACTACCTACATAACACTTAGGAAAACATAATATCTCTGTTGCGGTAAATCGTAGACAATTGCGTTTTCATGAACATAAAAAAAAATAATAATTTAATAATAATTTTAAAAATGCGTCAAAAATGTTACGGTGTTTTCTTCTTTTTTTGTAAATCAATATAACTTGCACTTTTTTAATAAATAAATTTATTTATGAAACTAATTCTGATGGTTTTACGTTATCGTTCATACAGTGAAAAAATATTGTGAGACAAGAAAACATTTGTCTAAGTAGGTACACTGTTAATAAATTACGAAACATGTAACAATTTGATTATGTATTCATAATCAAGTAGATTTTAAAATTAATGGATTTGAAACTTTAAATATACTGGGCAACATTGCAGTTAATGATTGAAAAACTTCATGTGATAATCCCTGCAATAAGGAAAAATAAAAAAAAAAAAATATAAGAAATGACAAAGATTTCGCCGTGGTTAGCGCTACTGTATCTTTTCTTTAGTTCATTCAGACGCCAGCAACAACTTAGAAAATGGCGTCCGTGTGTTTCCAAAAGTTACGTGTAGTGACAAAACAGTGAATAAAAAAAACTAGCGGTGCAAAATGAGTGATAAGTAAATGTAATGTAGTTACAGTAATACTAATTACTGAGTGGTTCAAAATGACAGCTAACATGTATAGGGTTGGAGGTAAGAATCGTGTCTAATTAACCGGTACTAAAGAAGAGGAAGTCTTTTCAGCGGTATAATAATTTAATTATTGTACATTAAATCATTAATTTATTGTCGTCTGCAGTGATGCCTGCTATTTTTTCAAGCACCAGGTTGATTATGGTTACCAAAACAACTAACTATTTTAATTAATTATGGGATATCAATCAAACTTTTAATTAATTACGTTTACATTATCACACTGGGTGTTTCAGCTAACTGTATGTAATAATAATATACATAGAATACGTTTCTTCGGGAATTGGTAACGTTTATTAAAGAAAGCAGAGATGAATGCGCGTTTTTGGAAATTTTTGGAATCCTTTTAATGAAATGTTTATACCTACTTACATACGGAAGTAGACAATTTCTACGTTACGTCATGATCATACAAAAAATGTAGTAACGTTTGTACTATTTTGTATTGGAATTCTTTGACTATTTAGATTGCAATTTTTTTCGTAAAAAAATATTAGACGTAGATTGTGTGGTTGAAATGGATGGTAATTGTACCGATCTCTTCAGACTATGTCTACTTCGAGACATCTTCGACGTCTCCTTATCAAATTCGTCGGATAGAAGAATTAAACAAAACAGCGTCGGGTAACGTGGAAGCCAAAGTGATGTGTTTCTACCGACGGAGAGACCTACCAAGCCCGTTAATTCAACTTGCTGATAAACACCAAAGTAAGTATAAAGAAATTGGCGTTGTTATTGTCCCTAGTAAAATTAACAGTAAAGTAACAAGTAACATAGTAACATTATCATAAGATAATTATGAACGTATTAAAATCGAGTACAAGTGTGGGGAGAAAGAAACACGATATTATTATAGATAAATATACATGATATTATTTTGAGGTCTAATTGTAAGGAGGGCATTTTCAGCATTCACGCATTCTAAATTAGTGGAGGGGCAAAAGTCTTGATTAGACGATCGATATTCGTTGACTGTACCTGTCTTGTCACCCAGCGCGGTGTGTGTTGTTTCACAAAATCCAAATAAAAGCATACACTTGATCAGATCACCACGTCGCTATGACAACTGCGGGAGATGCGTATCTTGCGCGGACTGTACTTTTATAATTAACGCAAAAAAGTGGACGAATAAAGTCGATGCCTTTCGCCAAAACTATTGTTATCACGGATCAATTTATAAACCAAAGAACCGGACGGTTGATTACTTATCCGTTTAAATTTTAAATAATTTACGACAATTATATTAAACGCAAGCCCAATGGTCCAGTACGAGAATATTTAGCTACTGTGCTTCTTCCTATCACATATTTTAGGTATACCTGAAAGAGGTCTGTAGAGACCTACCCGTCTATAAGACTAACTATTTTTTTACACTTATTATGTTTCTATTCAGCTAAAGATGTTTTCNCACAAAAAGTACTACAACAGGTTTACTTAATTTATTACCAATAAGCAATTAATCTTGAGCAAAATCCAAATTTAATAGCAAGTTATCAACTATAATAACGAAAATATAAATAACTTCATATGGGGGATTTTTACACAGTGTTTTTAGTAGAACCTTATCATCTATAATCTGTACAATTGCATATACTTATTAAAATAAATTATCTATGTACCTAATCATAGATAATAGTACCTTATCATATCTAATCATGTGACTAACAAACACATACATTTTACATTAATAAAAGAGGCATGCTCGTATAACAAAAACATTATTATTATGCATTAAACGATTAAACCAAAACATATTTTAAATACTGTTATGTTTGACTTCAATATTACCTTTATGTTTTTTTAATATTATACATTAAAAAAATTATAATATTTACACACAATGCCACACATTCAAGATATTTATCACACGTATTTATGTGCTTTTCATAGATAGTTCTTTTTTGGATTTTGTGACTTGTTACTTTTGGAGTTTAGATCATGTTTGGATTATTCTTTGGTGTTGAAATCCTTATGGCTTCTTGGGTGCCTTCAGTTTTATGATATTATTTGCTAGTAGTGTTCTTTATATAATGTCCTTTTAATAAAATGAAATGAATATAGTTAAAAATTAACACATACACTTAAAAGCGCCAATTTTTTTTAATTTAACGTAGTATGAGATGATTACACTAAATTAATTAAATAAAGTGAATTTGAAACTCTAGGTTACATTTGTTTCAATAATTATTTACATTGCATTATTTAAACAAAAAATATATAGTTAGGTAGATACTTTTTTTTAAGGTGAAAAATAATAATTCGAAGAGAATAATTTGCTTAAGGAAGAGATGTTAAGTAACAAGTAACTGTTTAATAAAGACAAAATTAACCCTGCGGTCTTTACATGTTAAATTAAATTCGTACTTTTTATTTTGAATGTAATTTTCGTTACATCAGAAAAATTGAATGTTTTTTTTAAACAAACATTTTTGTAAAAACTAATTTTTTAAATAAATGAATAGTTATCTGTAACATTTGTCAAATTTTTATTTTTTTAATTTTTGTAATTTTCTGTTGTGCCAATAAAAATAATGCAGCTATTCACCACTCGTGCACGTTAGCGCTACTGTATCTTTTCTTTAGTTCATTCAGACGCCAGCAACAACTTAGAAAATGGCGTCCGTGTGTTTCCAAAAGTTACGTGTAGTGAC